AGTTAAAATTCACTCTGCATTGAGTTTTCTCACTTTCACTCTGCATTGAATTTTTTCTTACAAGTTAAAATTCACTTTACATTGAGTTTTCCTTACATTTTACATTTCACAATAATTTATACATTTCAGATGCACAAGCAAAAATAATGGACTGAAAACACAACTCAAATTTTATTTATTCACAAACTTGTACATAAGTTCATTACAGCATTTCAAAAAAAAAGAAACAAACAAACAAACACACAAAAACAACACTCTAAGTACAAATTGTGTTCACTTCAAATTATTCCTCCTCACTGGAAACGAGGTATTCTTCTTCAACACCCTCATCCAGGGGGGTCTGGGCCACATTGTCTTCGTCAATTTTTACCCTACTGAGGTCTAAGTCTGTGAACAGCTCTTCAGCTCTACGTTTGAACTTCTTCCAGCCACTGTTCCAGAACTTAGTCATTTCATGCTTATAGAAGTCTGACCGCTGGAAGCTCTCAATAACTTCTGCCTCAGTCCTGCCCCCAGCGATCGTTCCCGACGAGCCCGCCCCCCTGACACTTCCCTCGCCAAGTTGCTGGCGACCGCGGCATCGATCGCCATTTGAAATTCAGCAGACCCCTTAAACTGCTCAACTGTTGCGACGCATAGGTCAAGGTATGCCGCCATTTCAGAGGCGGCCTTGGTCTTTTCATCCTCCAGCTCCTTCTGCAACCTTGTCTTCTCCTTCATTGCCCTAGCATGCTCGTCCTCCAGCTCCTTTCGCAGCCCAGCAATCTTCACGTCCGCTTCATCCTTCTCTTTGATCTGCTGGGCGCGCAGTTCTTCATTATTGATCATTGCCTCTTCAAACCGCTCGGTGGCGACCGTGTAGGCATTTTGAGCTTCCCCCAGCTTCTTCCACTCGCCAACCAGCTGGAACTCGAGCGATACTACCTTGCGACATTCGTCCTCTAGCTCCAACCCGATCGCCAGCAGCTCAACATGGGCACGATCGGCAACATTGCCCTGTACGATCGCCAATACTTTCATCTTTTTTGCCTTCTCAGCCTCCTGCCAACCCCTGGCACACACGCTTCGCGCAGCCCTTTTCCAGCTTGCACTCTCCTTCTTGAAACTTGCAAGCTGGGCCTTGGCCTTCGCAGCCGCTACCTTTCTCAACAGACCCCCTGCTAGGGTGGTTGCCTCCATTTGAGTAGAGCACAACCCCCTTAGCAGCTCAGTCTCATTGAACCTGGCTGCAAAGCGCACGGTTCCTTCATCCACCACCCCCAAAAGAAGATCTGCAGCCGTCCTGTCTGGGCCTCCTTCTCCCTCCAATCACCCAGAAACTGCTGGAGCATGGTAGATGGCATACTTTGGCCTCACCCCCGCTCCTTGGGGCGCAGGACCCCCCTAGGGCTGTTCCTCTCCCCTTGTCTTAGGGCCAGTTGCCCCACCTTCTACTTGAATTTCAGGAACGGCCTCTGCGACCTTCGAGGCGATCCCCACCACTACAGGGACGACCGCCATGACCTTCGAGGCGACCTCCACCATTTCTGGGGCAACCACCCTTCCTGGGGTTTGCCCCACTCCCTCCTCCTCTGCCTCTTTGGCCATGGGGGTCTTCTCTGCCGTCACCTCCCTCATCTTCTTCAAGGCAGGTTCCTTCTCACTCCTCCTCACCTTTCTTTTTTTCTTCCCCACACTGCCCATCTCCTGGTTAGCTCTCTGTTTCAAAGGATCAATCGGGGGCGGTCGTGGCCCAGATTTATCCAAGTCTTTTTCCTCCAGCGATTTGGGGAGCGGTCGGATCCTCTCCCGCGCGATCGGCTTATGCGGTTGGTCTTCCTGCGCCTCATTGAACTTACTGGCTTGGGCGAATATGGTCCTATCCTCCGCCTCTTGTGTCTTCCTTCTCGCCTCTAATTCCGCCCGGTTGAGGTCTCCACTATTCGGTTGAGGACCCAACCCCGCCGCAAACAAGGCTGACGGCTGAACAAGCTCGTCCCACTTGGTCCCCTCCTTCTCCCGCCATTCCTTCACTTTCTTCACCCTCTCCTCCGCTGCTGCCCCTAGTCTTGGTTCCATCGATTTGGTGGGCACTTTCCAAACTGTACGCACCCTAACCCCTCCATGGGCGGACACATAGAACCACCGCGGCCTCCACCCCTTGATTGATGATGGTAGCCCCACCACCAACCCCTTCCTTGCTGCTGCCAGCAAGGTAACCCAAGTCTTCTGCTGCCCTAACACCTTGTAGCATGCAAAAAACTCGTCCACTGTCATTTCAGCCCCCCCGTTCGCCTTCGGCCACGCACTCAGACAAGCCAGCAAGATCTTCCACACGTTGGGCATTAGATGGCCTGGGGCTACGTCCAACCGGTTCAGTACATCCACCACAATCCAGGGGAGGGGCAACCTTAACCCTCCCTTCAATGCCTCCTCGCACAGGGCGAACTCCCCCAGGCGGGCATCAGACGCCCTCTCCTTTGATTCCAGCAGTTTCAACTCTATCTCTGCGGGGATTTGGTACTTCTCCCGTATCCCCTCCAGCTCCTTCGCGGTAATGATCTACTTATCAGCCTTTGTATGCCAATGATCTGGCTCCACCTGGCTTATCGGCGTTGGGGCCGCCATCATGGTGGAAGAATGAGATCGTACCACCGGCTCCCCTACCCTCTCCATTTGCCTCTCCGCCCTGTACTACTCCGCCAACTCCACCGCATCATCATCCCCAAGTGGATCAACCCTGGCGATTCCAGCTTCTTCTTGGGCCATTTCTGTGGTGTGTCTACGAATAGCTTCGGATGCGGGCGCAAGGAAATTCAAAAAATGTCGCAGAGGTGTATTGTCAGCAACAAAGGAGTTAACACTTGGAATGTTTTGATTTTTTGCAAAGAGATAGGTAAATCGAATAATACCAAAGGCCTAAGGCTTGCCCGTATTCCAATGGTCATAATTAATTTTCGCTAGTTTGAAAACTTTTCAAAAAACTTCGCCAAAACTGTCTTTTCAACACCCACAATGACCTATCGTTTCACTTCTGGCTCAACGTCTAACCTGCCTCACCACGAGATGCTGCCACGTGTACGACCACGACTCACTTCCCCCTCCCCTTACCCTGTCTTTTCCACTTCAAATCACCACGTGACACGCCGCCTCTCGAGCCCCGCGCCCACCCACCTTATCCTTCGCAGTCGGCCCCTCCACTCGGCCACCCTTCGCGGTCGGCCCTCCTCATGGTCGGTCCCTCCGCTCAGCCACCCTTTGCGGTCGGCCCTCCTCATGGTCGGTCCCTTCACTCAGCCACCCTTCGTGGTCGGCCATCCTCATGGTCGGTCCCTCCACTCGGCTACCCTTCGCAGTCGACCCTCTTCGCGGTCGGTTCTTCCACTCGACCACTTCTGGTCGGTCGTTCCTTTCACTAGACCTTTAACCCCCATCTTCCTCATTATTCCCTTCGTTGGACTAAAGCTGCACTCGGAAATGGGGGACTACTGATGTGGTTAGGCTTAGAAAGGCCATAACCCACTATGAACAACCCAAGCCTACTACTTAGGGCCCAAGACATAACCTAACTGATAAGGCCCAGCACAGCCGGAAATCAACATGACATGAAGGACCAATTATATTCAGACACGTGGCACGTAAAGGGCAAGCCACATCAGCAGACAAAGATCTGCAAAGTTATTGCCACTGCACATCGTCATTAATGCAGCCTCTCACAGTATTTATTACGACAACACCTCTCCGTCAAGACGACATGCCCTCACCCTGAACAAGGTAAGCTACAACATAGACTTGGGGCCAAGGTGACAGATAGGACGGGACAACGAAATGATTATCAAAGGATATAAGCAGACGTTGGAGACAAGAAGAAGGTTAAGCTTTCTATCTCCCATCCATATCTCTACATTCTACTCTTTTCTCTCTAATTTGCTCGTCGGAGGGTTCGCTAGGACTCCCCGTTCCCCGTTGAACTCCTGTGCAGGTTCTCAGGTGGACTTGGCTATTCAGATTTCGGTTGGAGAAGCGTGGACCAGTCTGACCCATTCCCTTTGAAACCCGTTGTATCATAATTGTAACATCAATTATCATTCTACCAAGCCTATGACCACCTTAATTATTATTGTATATATATTTTACCTATACCTTAGTTAATTATAAGAGTCCATCTCACATAATCTCATGTAAAATAATTTTCATACACACACATTTTAAATTTCATTATAACTATAATATTTTTTTAATGGGTATGCAATCAAACCTATATCAGCCACATTTTATTTTATTTTATTTTATTGTAAGAAAATTTTCTGGTATATATGCAATCTTAACATAAAATTATATAAATTTTTATAAATAATCTTATAAAAATACATAAATTCACATAAAAATTTATATTTAACTTATATAATTTTTTTTTTTTAAGCTAAGGCAAACATAATATTTATAACACCCTGAATAATACCTTCTAAGAGAAATTATACGATAATCTATTTTAAATACTTTAAGTTAAATTAGTTACCTTATGAAAAAAAAGAAGAAGTTAAATTGACACTTGGAAAATAATGTTTAATTTTATAGTTGTAGGTGATAAAATATAATTTAATTTAAAATTAGGGATTATTGTGTGTTATCAAAAGATGATGATGTAATTATTATATTATTTGGGCTCAAGAGTAATTACTTAATAAGAAACTGGCAGGTGGCACTAATAAGATAAGTATAACCTGTTGGATAAGTCTAGTAACCATTTTTATGTATTTATTAATTTTTTAAAATATTTTTTCACAATTTTTTTACTTTTTAGATACATCTAAGTAAGGTGCATCTAAAAAAGTAAAAAAAAAAATGTTTAAAATTTTCAAAATATTCACTAAAAATAAAAAAATATAAAAATCAAAAAATTCAATTATTAAAAAAACGTAATTCAAAGAACTCAAGCCAAACATACTTTAACTCTAATTTTCATAATTTGAATGGTCTCAAATAACATAAATAAAATGATATTATTTCGACACAATGAAACGAGCCACAGAAATTCATACTGTCAGACATTTTTCAACGTGAAAATGGAAGAAAATGCGAGATCGGATTTAGAAGCGGTTGACAGTTCACACCAGATGAGTGATGAGTGGCAGCAATACACACACAGGGATATACATACACGCTTCTATATCTAAACATATCGTCAAATCTCTAGGGTTTTCCATTGAGAGAGAGAGAGAGAGAGAGCTTGATTTGTTGGTATGGAGGTGGTGGAAGAGGAAGTGAGCAACAAACAGATCATTCTGAAGGAGTACGTGAGTGGTTTCCCCAAAGAGTCGGACATGGTGGTGAAGACTGGTACCATTCATCTCCAGCTTCCAGAGGGTTCGAAGAACGCCATTCTAGTGAAGAATCTCTACTCGTCTTGCGATCCTTACATGTGTAGACGCATGAGGAAGTTGGAAGATAGCTACGTTGAGTCCTTCACTCCTGGTTCGGTGAGTCAATTCTGAAACTATATATATATATATAGTTTTGGTAATACTGTAGGGGTGGACTGTCGGTTGATGTCCTTTTGCCTCGTTTCAAGTTCTGAATAATTATTTTAATGGAATTGAAGAAGTGGAGATGTTGAATTTTATATTTGTGTGTTTTTATCATGATCCCTACTGTTGATGATGTCCTTTTTTTTGTTTTCTGTTTGTCGGGATGATCTGGATGATTATTATAATGCTGTTGAAAATTTGGGGGAATTACAGAACTGTTGTAGCAAAAACTCTCAAATTGTTCTCCAATTCCGCATACTAGTCTCGCCATGTTTAGAATTTAGGGTATCATCCCAAATATTTTTTATGATTCCCAATTTTTTTTTTTTTTTAAGAGTTCTAACGAGGTTGAATATTTATTAGAGCATCTCCATCAAGCCCTTTCTCTCTCTCTCTCTCTCACTAATCAAATTTGAGTGAAAATTTGAATACCAGTTTGATCTGATATGATATATTTCAATCCTTTCTCTTTTTTTCATCAAATCAAATCTTTTTAAAAAAATTCAGAACTTATCCTAAAAAACTATTTTTGATGAAAGGAAATAATCTCAAATTCCTACTTCCTTTAAAATTTTCATCAAATTTGAGTAAAAATGTGAATGTTGAGAATTTGGTGAAAGATTTGATTCATCTTGATTTGAGAAAAACTTTGCCTCTACCTTTATTTGATACAAATTTGAAGAAATGATTGGAGCATACTTTTTAGTCATTATTTCATCAAATTTGAATTTGATGAAAAAATTGATGAAGGATTGGAGATGTTCTTAGATGATCTTACATCTTTCTATTTTGATGGTGTGATGTAATTTCCAAAGCATCTCTAGAAATTCTGTTTATTCATTCAGCCAATAATTTTTCATAATGTTCAATTTTTTGTGTGTTTGCATGGAGGTGAATCAATGGATTTTGATTTTTTTTTCATTTTCATTTATTTTCTTACTTTTTGCTTGGGGCTCAAATATGAATTCGTCCAAGTTATACCCTGTTAGGCATTGCAAACATTCTGCGAACGTCTTATTTCCTGAGTTATTTTACAACTTTGACATGAGTTCAAACTTCACAGTAGCTGAAAAGACAATAATTCCCTGATGATTAGCTTTTGGGCACACTTCACTTTACCTTCTGTGGTTTGGGCCATGTGTGATTTACTTCTCTAACGTTTGGAAATAACCACATAACTCCATGTGGTTTGTGGATCAAAATACACACCAATATCTATTAACAGAACATATGAATTGACCCTTTTGCCCTTGTCTTCTTCCTCTCTTTAGTAAGACCTCATCTTCATCACCATGACCAGCCACCCTTCTTCAGTAAGACCTCGTTTTCTTCCTCACCATGACCATCCACCTTTCCCTCCCTCACAGACCATTGCCATTGCTTCCTCTGCCATCCTTGACCGTCACCATCGTCTCCTCTCCAATCCCCGACTATCGCCAAGCCCCCTCTCCCATCTCGAACCATTGCTGCCACCCCATCTCCCATTTCCGTTGTCTCTTCTTCCATCCCCAACCATCATTGGTTTTTTTTTTCATTTTTTTCTGGGCTCCATTGATGCTTCCTTACTATATATGTATATATATATATATATATAATTCTGTGAAGACAGAAAATTTGAAGAAAAACACACCATGAATTACAAAACAGAGTGCTCTAATATATATAGAATTACAACCATATGAGAAAGGAAATGCCAACGGTAAATAATCCCATGATTTCAACAATATCATATCAAATCAAGCATGAGTTGTTTGCATAATTAATTGGGATTTACTGAGAATGAGAGACTTTAGGCTATAATTCATACTTCTCCACAACATTCTGTAATAGTTTTGAGAAAAGGATTGCAAAGAAAGGAAGTGGAATTGAAGACTGAAAATTGTCTGGTTTAGGGTGTTGAACTGGAGAAATTGTTGTGGGAGAAGTTCTACTTCTACATATATATATAACTAGGGAAGGATTTATTGTTGTTATGGTAATGGTGAAAAAATTAATTATTATTAGGGATTTGCGAACTAATGAGGCAGAGCTGTGCAAATGGAGGAGTAGAAGAATAAGAACTGGTGAGAGGATGTGCTAATGGTTGAGGAAGAAAGGTATAGAGAGAGAAACAATAGAAAAATGGAAGAAATGGCATTTTTTGTAAATTTGAAGATACAGAGAGGATATTTTCATCTTTAAAATTAGCCTACTCTCTCCAGGGAGTGCGACTCTCACCGTCTATCATCTTTGATGGAAAAATTAACAGTGCATTTTAGTTCACAAACCACGTGAAAGTTATGTGGTTATTTTCAAACGTTATACGGTAAACTGTACATGCCCAAACTATAAGGGGTAAAGTAAAGTTTGCCCTTAGATTTTTTTCAAGAGCTTTTAAGATGGGTTTTTTAAAAGGCCCCTTTTTTTTATCTGCAACTTTTTAGACCACATATCAAACTAATTGTTCGAACTAGTGTAGTCCCAATTGTCGGGTCTTTCCAATGTTGTATCGCGGTTAAATTGAGGGCACAATTTTCTTTTTGTTGAATCAACTTGTATGCTTGGCCTTCCCCTTATCCTTTTTGTTCCCTCAACCTCATTTTAGCTACAATATTTAGGAATTTGTGTGGGCTTTTGAGAAATCACACGCTTGAATGAGTGACTTTTCTTTTTTCTTTTTTTGATTGCAAGTGACTTCTCTTGTTAATGTTTTTGGGCAGCCTATAACTGGATTTGGAGTGGCTAGAGTTTTGGATTCTGGACATCCAAACTTTAAGAAAGGTGACTTAATTTGGGGAAGAACTGGATGGGAAGAGTATAGCATCATTACAGAGCCAGCAAACGTATTTAAAATTCAAAATACAGATGTGCCTCTTTCTTATTATACAGGAATCCTTGGTAAGTTTGTTTAATTTGTTTGCTTCAATTACTGCAAGCACAATAAGTGATTCTCTTACGTATCTTTTTTTTTTTTTTTTTAATTACAAGAATAATTTTATTCTTGCACAAATTACGGCTTGAGGAGGTTATCAGGACATGGAAGGTTAAAGAAGCTTTCCTTGTTTTACTTATTTTTATCTGACTTTGAGGGCCCCAACAATTATACTAAATGAAATCTCCAAGGGGATCATTTAATCTATTACAAGAACAATCATTCGGAGAACTGTCTTGATGCTTGAAGGAACAAATGAGCTTGCAGTAGTGCTTCGTTAGGTCCAATGTTGAAGAGTGGGTAACTTGTAACTACACTTGATAAATTTATGGATCATGTTGGTGTCTTAAAAATGAAATTTGCGATGTGGCACTGGCAGACTCTCTCTCTCTCTCTCTCTCTCTCTCTCTCTCATACACACACAAGAATATAGATTTTTTTTTTTAATACATAAAACTCCCTTTATATTTTACTATGTTTTAATGAATAGCTTCCTTTCTTATTTTTGGACTGGCAGTTTCCACTAATTAGATTGAATATACCAACCTAATATTTCTTCTTCTTTTTTTCTCGAACACAAACATGGACACGAACATGGCAATAGAATTTTTTTTTTTTTTTATATATGTGTATTTATTATGTAGATTATTTTTGCATTCTCAAACAATCAAAATTATTAAAAATTTACACTAATTCAATATTTAAAAAAATTCCATTCTTACGTTAACTCTTATCGTTTATGTCTTTTTTATGGATGATTTATTATTAATTATTTAAATCTAAACAAAATGTAATAAACATTCAACACACAACATCTCTCAAAAGCACTAAAGAACAAATTAATTACATAAAGGGACACGCCAGCTAGCATGTCCTATACGTGTCCCTGGCATGTCTGACACCACTACGACACATGATTTTGAGTGTCGGTGCTTCATAGTGTGTACACAGCTTCATTATAACTTGTAATATTTTTTTTATACATGTTTATTTATTATGTAGATTATTTTTGCATTCTCAAGCAATCAAAATTATTAAAAATTTACACTAATTCAATATTTAAAAAAATTCCATTCTTACGTTAACTCTTATCCTTTATGTCCTTTTTATGGATGATTTATTATTAATTATTTAAATCTAAACAAAATGTAATAAACATTCAACACACAACATCTCTCAAAAGCACTAAAGAACAAATTAATTACATAAAGGGACACGCCAGCTAGCATGTCCTATACGTGTCCCTGGCATGTCTGACACCACTACGACACATGATTTTGAGTGTCGGTGCTTCATAGTGTGTACACAGCTTCATTATAACTTGTAACAACTGCCTATCAAGAGAAAATTGTAATTATAGCAACACAGTGTAACCCCTGCAGTAGTATTTGATCAGTTCTTTAGAATTTCCTAGTCTATTAAAACAATAGGAGCTGGTGACCTCAATCCAACATTAAGGTCCAAGTATGAACTTTATTGCAAACAATAGGATATTTCTATAGCTATTGATTGATTTTATTCCTGGTAGTTTGATGGTTGCACTCAAGGTGCAGAACACGTGTTTTTATCGAATTCTACTCTTTTATTTATTTATTTATTTTTTTTGTTGTTGTTGTTGTTATTGTGGCTACATTGGATGCTTAATTGGTTGCTTTGAATTTATACTTGTAGGTATGCATGGTATGACGGCCTATGTTGGTTTTTATGAGATATGCTCTCCTAAACAAGGAGACTATGTTTTCATTTCTGCTGCATCTGGAGCTGTTGGTCAGCTTGTTGGCCAGTTTGCAAAGTTATTAGGATGTTATGTTGTTGGAAGTGCTGGAACCAAAGAAAAGGTAAGCGCCCCTCTGCATGTCCATTAATGTTAAAATAACCAGTAAGTGGCTGCTAATAGAGTCAGAAGTATATTTGGTTGCTCAATGTATGTGATCTTCCACCTTTTTCCTAACTGGCATGTTTGCAGAGCCGTCACAAATTTAGAAATTTTAGCCTAGTATATTAAGCTGGGTCAGAACAGGCATGGTTACTGACTCTCTTCTATTTTTTGTTCTTTTGTTTCTTTCTTGTACTATTTGTCTACTTAAGGTTGATCTGTTGAAGAACAAATTTGGGTTTGATGAAGCTTTTAACTATAAAGAGGAGAAGGACTTGGAAGCAGCTCTGAAAAGGTGAGCATTTCATTTTCTTGTAGAGAAATACATAACAGCACTAAAAAAATTAGGAATCCAAAACACCTAGCCAAGATTGGTGAAATGTAGAACACAAAACGAACAAACGCAAGACAAAAATAAAACAGACGCAGACATGAAGAATACAAGATTTATGTAGTTCATCCCATAACTAGAGCTACTGCGGTTTTCACTATAATTAGAAAAGTTACACGAGATTACTTGAGATAGCCGTCTCCTCTCAACTATAAATAAATTAAAAATCCTTGGTCTGGCGGAATACCCTTTTAGGTAGGATTATTTTTTTGTAATCTCAATTTTTCAAGTTAAATATCCTCTCATTCTCTACACCTCTATTTAAACTTTCTGCCAGGTACTTTCCCAATGGCATCGATATTTACTTTGAGAATGTTGGAGGAAAGATGCTCGATGCAGTACTTGTCAACATGAGACTCCATAGCCGCATTGCTGTGTGTGGTATGATCTCACAATACAACCTTGAACGACCCGAAGGTGTACACAACTTGTTCTGCCTTATCACAAAACGTGTCCGTATGGAAGGATTTATAGTTTTTGATTACTATCACTTGTATCCGAAGTTTCTTGAAATGATCCTCCCCTGCATAAAAGGAGGAAAAATCACATATGTGGAAGACGTAGCTGAAGGCCTAGAAAGTGCACCAGCAGCTCTTATTGGGCTTTTCTCTGGTCGCAATGTTGGCAAACAGGTGGTGGTGGTTGCTCGTGAGTGATGATGTTATTGATATCCTGGTAATCTTTAATGTAAATTGTTAGTATGCTTTGACTAAAGTTAATAGGGAAATGGTTTCTCACTGGGATGATGTTGCTAGAAGCAGTGTTTTTGAAGTTTTAATCAATGGGTTCTGAACTGAAAAGTAATTTTATTTCTTCTTTTTGTTTGGGTATATTTATATTTCTTACAAATTTCAACTTCTGAAAATGTTTTAGGTAGATGTAAGTTTTTTCTCAACTCTCAAAGCTATGTTTGTTTGGATGAACCGAATTAAATGAAATTAACATCTCTTGGCTGAGTCTTGAGATTATTAATTTCATATTGAAATTTGTTTCCTATCCCAAATTTAGATTGGTCTAGTGGAATTGTAAAATTTTTATTTAATTTGCAACGTACTTTGTAAAATATTTTTCTTTTGTTTCAATTAATACATATTTTTATTTGTACAAAAAAATATTAAAAATTACAACCACTATATAATGCTAAAGTGTTTTCTTTTTCTATATAAATTTTTTTTTCTTATTGCAAAATAATCGAGCAAATTGAATATGCATAATTGCTCTTTAAATTGAATATTTAGAAATTAATGAAAATAAATAGAATAATGCAATATGGATGTCGATATAAAATAATAACAAAAATTCTAGTTACTGTCGCACATTAGGTTTGTCTTTGAGACTATGTTATGATAGTCATTATCTATCTATTTATCAATATATTATATAAGAAAATTAAAATTTTTAATTCACAAATTTGGTGAGAGTTCTAATATTTTAATTTTAATTTTAATTTTTAATTTTTTGATTTAAATTTTTTTTTTAACATTTATTAATTTCTCCCAACTTACAAGCTTTTTGGAAGATTTGGTCAAAATTCTATCCTAATAAAATTTTAATGCAACAAGGACAAACATAAAAAAAATTCATTAAAAAGTTCAATACATATCATTATTATTAAAATATTAAACTTTAAAATAATATAATTTTTGATGTAGATGTCGGTTTTTAATAAAATTAGTATTTTTAGAATTCTCTCATCAAGATCTATCAAATAAAATCGATATTGACTATGAAATTCTTATAAAAAAATTATTACCTTTGAAATTAATGTAAACAATAACAATAACATGTGTTTGACAGTAACATGTTGCTCTGTTTAACAATTATTCTATTTGACAGTAACATGTTATTCTGTCTCACAGTAACATGTTACTTTGTTTGACAATAACATGTTACTCTAGCAATATTGTCCAAGAAAAAAAAAAGATATTTTACTTTTTCCTTATTCAATTATGTGTTTTCTCCTTTGAGGGTTTATGAAGCAAAATCAATTGGTTGTCATTTTCACCAAACAAGGGTCCAATTGAGGGGTTTTTAACTAAATTTCTCAAGCCTTTTTGACTTCTCTCATATCTACTACCATACCATTTTCAACTTCTTCCATACACTATGGTTAGTGATGAGATTATTAAATTATTTTTATAAAAAAATCTAAAAAAAATAATTTGTATATTAAAAAAATATCTAAAATAAATATAAATTCTTATTAAAAAATAATAGGTTGCAATTGGGAAAGAGAAAAGAAAAAAAAAATTACACTGTGCATTTCATTGATAGTGCTCAAAAAATGTGTCAAATGTTTGTGTAAAGGCTTGACACGTATCTACTCTCAAATTATCAAGTGAATATAGATGAAATCAAAAAACTCAACTTTAATGGCTAACAAATATTAGAAGGCCGACCATTAAAACCTAATAACTATTAATTAATAGAATTTAGCAATTAAAAGGTCTCAAACCACATCTCTTTGTCTTCTCAAATGTTTTTTTTTTTTGGGTTCATGCATTCATTTTGATATTGAAAGAGAATTGGACGTGTGAAAGAGTAAGAGACATTAAAATTATATATTGAGTCATGTAATTGTTGTGATAAAAAATAAGATTGTCTTCTCCTTCTATGATGATTTATCTGGTTATACTTCCAATTAAAACGTCAGATGTACTTCTACATCATCATTGAACGTTGCTTTTATTTTTTTAGATACTTTGTCTCACAATTGTTTGTGTTTTGTATTATGAAATTTATTACATCTGTGTTTACTAAAGCTATTAGATGAACCTAATGCAAGAAGTGTAAACTATTTCAATATCATGCTTGAGATTAGAAGTAGAAAAAAATATACACAAAAAGTATATAAATAGACAAGATTTTACAAAATTTATTTGTGAGTCTCATTTCTTAAAAATCCTATAATTCATTTATTTTATGTTTGGTTTCTATATTTTTTTTATACAGTTTTCTTTTTTTAAAAGTTTATTTTTAAAAATTAATAAATAAATAAGTAAATCATTTTCTATTTCAAACATTTCATTTTTGTTTTTATTTTTTCTTAAAGTAGTTTTAGTTTTGGGCAATTATTTACTCTTATATGTATATATATATATATATTGTAATTTCGTACATTTTAAGTGCATGATGTTTTTACTAATACACTCAGAGATGCATTATGAAAGAAGTATCATGCGAAAATCAAGTAAGAAGAAGAAAAATAAATAAAATAATACGATGAATATGGAATAAAGATCAAATATCAAAACTCCCAAAACAAGCAAGCAAACAAACAAGTAAGTATAATAGAAGGTTTAACAATAGACATTTGAAAATTTGTAACAAAATTTTATAATTTTTCTTTTTGTTAAGAAAATTCTATTTGGTAGTAGCTAAATAAAATGCTTTTAAAATAGTTTTTTTTTTTAAATTTGAAATTAAAACTATAATAAATTTATGTAAGTATAATTGCTAATCACATTTTTTTACTTAATGTATAATATTATATTGACTACCTTTTTTAGGTTTATTTTTTTAAGTATTTATAGAGAAGTAAAAAAATGTCATTAGGAATAAATTTCTTCTTAATTTAGTTATAAATTTTGTCCATATATTATTTTTAAATTTTGAATAAAAGTAAACATAAAATAATTGATTGAAAATATGCTGCATTTTTTGTATTTCTTTTTCTATGTATAAAAAAAATATTTAAAAATCACAAATTATATATATACAAATAATTATAAAGACAATTCATACATAGTACGGATGAAAGACTTGTTATATGATAATGAAAATGGGGATCGTTGTTGAAAAGTTTTCTCTCTCAACCTTTTGATTTTGGGTAAAGCAAACAAAAGCAAGCTGGTACCGCAAGAAGCTCTTGCGCCACTGGATAAAGGCCCAAATGGTAGATCACTGGAGGAAGAAGATCATCTGGTGCGAAGCACCAAAAAGATCAAAAGCACGTCAGCACCTATTGAAGACCAGGACATAAACGACTCTATTCAAGCTCTAACAGAGGAACAACCAAAGAGATCATTCAAACAAGCCCTTACAGCAACGAAAATCAATGAGAAAGCTTTTGACAACGACCTTAAGAGACTCTTAGATGATGATTTTCTTACAAATGAGGAAGATAATGAGGCAATGGAGGAAGAAGATCATAATCAGTTTGCTGATCTAGGGTTTCGCATCCCCATAATCAGGTTTCCTTCGCGTCTCATCAAACACATTCATAGGCCATGGAAAGACTGCCTAATCGTCAGATTGCTTGGGAAAACTCTAGGGTATAAATTTCTTGTATCCAAATTGAGAAAGATGTGGGGACTCCAAGGAGATTTTGAAGCAACTGATCTGGGTTTGGGGTTCTTCTTGATCAAATTCGAAATGATGGTCGATTGTAGCGGAGTGTATACAGAGGGCCCTTGGATTATAATGGATCACTATCTGACAATAAGACGTTGGGAACATGATTTTAAGCCATTAGAGGCAGGAGAAGTGGCCACGGCACTATGGGTCAGGTTTCCCCAACTTCCAATTGAGTACTATAATGAGAAGGTCCTCTTCCATATAGCAAAGGCGATTAGGAAACCCCCCAAGGTAGATCTTAATACTGCCATGTCTGCTCGAGGAAGGTATGCACGCGTCTGTGTGGAAGTTGATCTCACAAAGCCATTAATTTCGTGATTTGCTATAGGTAAATATACTTACATAGTGGAATATGAACATTTACACTATTTTTGTTTCTAGTGTGGGAAAGTTGGGCATCGGAAAGAGTATTGTAGTAGTAACAAACCGGCGCCGGAGCCGAGCCCGGCTACCTCAGTAGCCATAGCTAACGATCGTGGCGCTGGTTTAGATCAAGCTCAAACAGCTAGTTCATCAGGCAGAAAATCTATTCCTGATAGAAGGCAGAGAGAAGAATTTGGGCCTTGGATGTTGGTGAATAGGAAAAATAATAGGCCCAACCCCATTGCAAGACAAGTTGGGCCCAACAACTATAATCACAAAAGATCTGCTAATCGGTTTTTCCCTTTAGCTGAGAATGGGAACATGGAAGGAGCACCAGAAAGAGCTAAGCATAAAGGCCCCATTGGCCCAAGCATGGTCGACATACACAGAACAAACTCTACTAGTGAGTCAGGCAATCCAAATATAGCTCAGGAAATCTTCTCAAAAGGCCAAAAGGATGAAAGACAACTTAACAAAGATAAGGACCCAACTGTTGAAGGACAAACTTTATGGGAGATTCCCACTTTAAGCTGCAATCCTAGCCTGGTGCAAGCTACTACCAAAGAACTAGAATTGATGAATACAGAGGTCAGTTCACCCAACCCTCCTTTATCATCTTTTAATCCCACCCCAGCCCAGATTTCTTGTCTTACTCCTTCCCTATCTACCTCTGTAGCTCCCAAAAACCCCATTGATAGTTTTGATCTGAAACAAAACCGCTTGATACAAATCATGAGCACCCCCAGCAACACCCGCTCCAGCAACGATCCGGAGATACCAGAAGTGCAACTCACCAGGATGAGACACAGCTCTGTGGGTTCATACCTCGAACCAGAGAGCGAAGCCATTCACCAAGTAAGCATCGAATGGTGGATAGAAGAGATAAAATTGACTATAGAGCCCAGGTGGGTGAGCATGGGAGGAAGACCACTGCAGGCAACTCAGATGGTAGCCCTAAGGCCATCAGAGCTATCCAAGAAGATAGTACGTAATTTCATTGGTCTGGCTAACGCAGATCCATTACCCCACCTTTCTAACCAATCATCCATGATTGTTATGCTATGGAACTATCGGGGAGCTGGCAACAAAATATTTAGGAGAAACTTTAGAGAACTCATTAGAGTTCATCACCCAAATG